GGAAGAAAGGAAAGAAATAAGGAAGGAAGAAGAAAGAAAGAAAGAAAAAAGTTTAAGAAAAAAAAAGATCTACAGGGGGAAAACAGGATGTGCTCTAGAAAAACAGAGAACATGAGTTAATAACCATCCAAAGAGCTACGTCATCCTAAAAACCTTCACCTCACAACCTCAAAAGATAGTAGTCATAGAGTTTACAGGTGAATCTTAAGAAACCTTCAGGGTAAAGATAATTCTTGTGCCGAATATTTTCAATAAGTAAGAAAAGAAGATTTACACATTTTATGAACTTATTATAAGATTGATTAAAAAACTGGATGAGAATATTAACAAAAATAAAATTTTAAATCACTTTCACTTATAATCATAGATAAACACATTCAAAATAAAATACTAGCAAATAAAGTCTATGTGTATGTAACGTGTGCATATCTCGGAACCCAGCAGAGTTTATACCAGTACCGTATGGTTGCTTGACTATCAGAAAAATCACTGATGTAATTCAACACTTCAAAAGAAGAGTGAAGAAAAACTGTATTATCCCCCAACAGATGCAGAAGCAGCTCTCAGTAAAACTCAATAATTATTTCTGATTAAATGCTTTGCATTTTAAATGAGCCAGTTATCAATTTACTGCCTCTCAGCTTCAAATTCACCCTTCAGTACCAGCTCGGCAATAAGGCACAGGGCCCTCTAAGCATCTCCTACTTTACAGTAAGTGTGATGGTAAGCTGGCCACGAGATGGTGGTGGCAGGCCCTCAGGTGGACGGGGCGTCTAATTCTGGAGCAGTTTTTACATTTCTGTATTTGGTCATATAGGGTGGCTGGTCAGTTGTGTAGAAGTATCAGGACAACCATCATATGTCCTTTTAAAAAATCCAATGTAGTGTAAGTACAAGCCATAACAATGTAGAATTAACCAAGGAGGGCAATGTAGAGTTAAATATTTTGGCATTGGCCAGGCACAGTGGCTCACGTCTGTAATCCCAGCACTTTGGGAGGCTGAGGTGGGCAGATCACCTGAGGTTAGGAGTCGAGACCAGCCTGACCAACATGGCAAAGCCCTGTCTCTACTAAAAAATACAAAATTAGCCAGGCGTGGCACATGCCTGTAATCCCAGCTACTCAGAAGGTTGAGGCAGGACAACCACTTGAACCCAGGAGGCGAAGGCTGCGGTGAGCAAGATGGCACCATTGCACTCCAGCCTGGGCAACAAGAGTGAAACTCAGTCTCAAAAAAAAAATGGCATTAACATAACCCATATAATTACAGGTGTAAAATGTTACATTATATGTCCCATAGCACTTTGCTCATACTTTTTCAGTCTTTCGCTTTCCATAGTGTAAATCTGAGCTTCTCAGATTTACTTTTATTTTTTTCTGTTGTTAACTTCATGAAAACAACAGACCTTTCTAATTGCTGGTGCAATAATCTCATCAAGAAACATATAGATAGATAGATAGATGATAGAAAGATAGATAGATGATAGACAGACAGATGACAGATAGATAGATAGATAGATAGATAGATAGATAGATAGATAGATAGATGATAGATGTCCACATACACACACACACACATATATTCTGTATCATAACATTGCCCCTGCAAAGGACACTTAGACTTAAATGTTGCCAAGTGCTGTGAGCGTGCCCTGCAATCCCTGAGCAAAGCCCGCAGGTCTGCAGGCAGTGGAATTGTTCAGCAGCCGGCCCAGAGCCCCACTGTGGTCCCAGCACAGCTCTGCTAACTATTACTATGTACTTTTGTCACTGCTTGACTTTGGGAAAGTGACAACCTCTCTTGGTCTGTTTTCTCATCTGCAAAAGGTGATCATAACACTACTCACCACATACGACTGCAATAGGGATTAAATGAATTTGTCTTTCTCACGCCTTACAGCACGCCTGGTTATGTGTAAATACGACATGAGTATTTAGTCAATAACAAAAATCGGTATCTTACTTTATAGTAGTAGGATATTTAAATGAGCATCTCTGTTTTGGCAATGGCACAATCATTATGCTAAGGGTGGTCTTCCTGCCTTCCCTGTAAAATCCAGAAACACCAATCCAATGAAGTTAGCTGTACATCCTTTTACATGAAGCCTCAACAATGCACTCTTCCACAAAAGATTTTCTTGGGGTTCACTCTTCTATGCACCTTAATTAGTTCCCAGTTCTCTTGAGTTACAAGAGTTTTCTGGAAATGGTTATGTTATGAAGACAATTCCACTGTTCCCAATTCAAATATGATTTTTGCAGCCAGGTAGAGTGGCTCACACCTGTAATGTCAGCACTTTGGAAGGTGGGAGGATCGCTGGAGCTCAGGAGTTTAAAACCAGCCTAGGCAACATAATGAGACCTCATCTCTACAAAACATTTAAAAATCAGCTGGCATGGTGGCATGGCTGTAGTCCCAGCTACTCAGGGGGCTTAGGCAGGAGGACCACTTGAGCCCAGGAGGTCGAGGCTGCAGTGAGTCATGATTGTGACACTGTAACACCGCCTCGGCCACAAAGCCCTGTCTTAAAAACAAAAACAAAAAAAAACAAGAAAATACGATTTTTGGTTTGGCACAGCTTTTATTTGACTTGCCATCTGTGTGCAGGCAGGAGCCTACGTCCTGCGTGTGTCTTCTGTGGCATCCACGCTCACAGCTGCGTGGTCACACCTGGAGGCAATCCTGCTGGGAAGGGCATTGCTTGTATTAAGGAGTGTGGGCTCTGCAGCCGCACTGCCTGCCTCACCGCAGTCCAGACACTGCACACCATCGAACAAGCAGGTTAACCTCTGTGTGCTCAGTGTCTTCCCCTGCAAAGTAGGAGTTACAAGCTCCATCTCACAGGACAGTTTCAAGGATTGAGTGAAAGCACTTAGGAAGTCCATGGCTGTCAGCACCTACTAAATGCATGTGACCTTTTGTCAGCATATGGGTAATCACGTTAAATTCATGCTCAATTATATTTCAATACTTCTGATTGACTAAACTGGGTTCCCATTTCTTCTTGCCAACATTACTGAGTACATATGCATGGCAGGCATTATGACAGGCATTGCACTTAAAGAAGGTAAAGATTTTATCCCCTTTAAACATCCTTATGAGGTAATTCTTATTCTGCCCATTTACTGACAAGGACACCAGGCCTTGATATGGTGCTTAGTTAGAGGCAGAGCTGGGACTGAAAGTCACGTCTACCTGCCTCTAAATCCCCATTATCTTAATCACTAACCTACAGTGTTCATTCTTTTCATGCCTTTAAATTTCACTTTAGCAATACTGGTATTTCCGTACACGTTCATTTTTAATACTGCCATTATTTCTCTACCTGTTCATCTTCACAAACATAAATAAAAATTGTTGGTGGTGTGCAGCACTTTGGCAGGCTAAGGTGGATGAATTGCTTGAATCCAGGAGTTTGAGCCCAGCCCAGGCAACATGGCAAAACCCCATCTCTACAAATAATTCAAAAAATTAACCTGGTGTGGGGGCATGCACTTGTGGCCCCAGCTAATCAGGAGGCTGAGGCAGGAGGATCACCTGAGCCTGAGAAGTAGAGGCTGTCATGAGCTGAGATCATGCCACTGCACTCCAGCCTGAGCAACAGAGTGAGACCCTGTTCCCCAAAAAGTTGTTTTAAAACCAAACCATGTATGTATCTGTAAGTACATGTTTATCTGTACGTGTCCCTTAAGCTTATGTCATTAAACTGAGTGCTCTTAGGGATCCCGGTATTCCTTCGTTAGACAGATTTCTGAGGAAATAACCTCCTCCCTTTAGCGTCTCCTACTCACCCCTATCCAAGTCTTTAATCACAGAGCAAACTCAGCAGGAGACTTAAGTGACAGCGGGAGGCTTAAGCATAAAAGGTATGTGCTGGAAACATTCAGAAGGTAAGTCCTCACGCTGGACCCCAAAACCGGGGCTCCCAGGCAGGATGCACTTGTAGGGTAACAAGGTCATGGAGGTGAGGGGCCGGCACTCACGTGGTGACAGTGTTGAAGCCACAGGCCTTCAGCTTCAGCAGACGGTCCCTCCAGTACTCCCTGGGCACCCGGAAATAGTGGATGGAGCCCCCGAAGATCAGGAACTTGTGGCCCTCCAGTGTGAAGTGGGGGTTACCCTGACCTGTGCTTTCAGTTCCAAGTCCCACAGATCGGTTCTTCAGCTCCAAAGGAGTCAGATGAGACCAATTAAACCTGGAGGAGGTGGGCGAGGGAAAGAAAGTGGAAAGGGAGAGAGGGCTCGGGAGAGGTCTCGGAGGGACGGCTGAAACCCTAGCGAAAAAAAAAAAAAGTTCTTGTTAGTGGGGCGTGTTCTGTGCACACTCGTGATATTATTTTCTCCAAGAAAGAAGAGATCGCTCCCCTCCCTCCCCAGGAATGTAGCTCTCGGTCAAACCTGGGCTGGGGCGGATGCGCTTTTCCGAACACGAGGTTCTCTTCCTGTTTAAACCGAGGACCAAAACCTGATAAGATAAACGGCAGGAAAAAGATGCCCACCATTCTCTTCCAGGAGAGACACGCGCTGAAAGGAGAAAGGATAACAGTGACACGGGGAAGGCGCTCGTCCCACCAAGCGGCAAGGACCGGGGCGCTTTAGAGGCCGGAACCCCGGAGGGGTCTTCTAGGCGGCTCAGGGCCAGGAGAGCGCCGCATCGCCCGGCCAATCCTCCTCGGTCACGACGGAGGCCGGGGACAGACGTCCAGTCCTAGATCCTACAGACACGGCTGGGCACCGCGGGCGGGTGTCCGGGAAAGGGGGAGGTGGGCGCGCTTCCACCACCAGGTTCAGGAAGGACGCGGCGCCCAGCGGCTGGAGCCCCTGGCCTGCATCCCCAACCCTGATTTTCTGGCATCTGGTGAACAGCCCCTCCGCAGCGAGGGGATCTTCAGACAAAAGCTGGGGAGAGCGGGCTTGAGGACGGAGCCTGGCGCCGCGCGGCCTCGGGCGCCTGGCTGGGCACAGGACCCGGGGAGGTCCGGAGGCTCCCAGGCACGCTGGGGTGATGGGGAGCCCGAGAGGGCGGGCTGGGCTGCGGCCGGGGCAGCGGCGATCCCTCACCTGAGTAGAGGCGAGGACCCCATCGCGGCGAGGCCGTGGCGCCGAGGGTCTCTCGCGGTTCCCGCCCCTCTCCGCTCAGGACTGCGCGCTGCGCGGGGAGCCGGGGCAGATATCTGTCCGGAGGCGCGGGAGCCGGGTCGGGGTCCCAAGGCTGCGCTGTCTGGCTCCGCACCAAGAGGACAGCCCGGCGCCGCTGGCGCTCCAGGTGTCCGCGCAGCCCTTCCGGGTGTATACGCCTCTCGGCCCTTGGAGGGAAAGCGGGAGGGCCCGTGGGTTAACGCCCCGACCTTGGGCTTCCTGACCTGGGTCGACAGCCAGCTGGCACAGAAAGGTCCGCGCGTGGGAGAGAGGCGGAGAGAGCCCGGCGCTGGGCACCGCAGGAAGTCTCCATGCAGCGCGCTCTAGAAACCATGTGCAGATCATAAAGCAAGGATTCACAGAGAAGCACAAAGTACAGGCGAGAGCCCTCGGAAAATTCTAGTTTCCCCACACTGTTACCTCGTGATAAACGAGTGAGAATTGGAGCGCAGAGCCGTGGGAAAGCGGTTCCCTCGGCGGGAGCGGCCCGAGCACAGCTTCACAGCAGGTGCGAGCGCCGCGGAGGCTGCGGGGACGAAGTTGCCGGACAGGCAGGAGGCAGGCGCGGGGTGGGGGCAGTGGACGCCAAGCCCCTTCACAAAACAGTGGGGACTATTACACGGTTTACAGCAGAAACTAAGCCAGGTGTTCGTTTCACGGAGATTTACTCGGCTGCAGGGTGGAGGCTGGATGAGAACCATGTCCTCTCCGGTGGGCGCTCACGGTAGTAACGCTACCCAAGAGGAGGGCACGCGTTCCGGGAAGACTTACGAGGTTAAACCCGCCGCTCTCGATAATGGAGCGCATGAAGTCGGTGATACAGAGCGAGGAGTCTGGACGGCCGTGTGTTTCCGGCTTAAGTAACTTGGCGGTGACGACGATTGGGATGGGAGACATAGGAAGGGATAGAGCCTGCCTAGAGGGAAAGGTGATGAACTCGATTTTGGAAACGGTGATGTGAAATCTCTACGATGGAAAAAAAAATACGTCTTCTGATTTCTCCCTTTGACGTCTTTGCTTCTCCCATTTGAAAGAACAGAGCCTATCACATCAGGTTGAAACCAGGAATGCAGTTCTCAGAGAATATTGTGTTGGGGTAAGGGAGTTTCTCTTGTCTCATTCCTTACAAGGATACTTTCCTCTCTAAAACCTTAGCTCCCTGAAAATGTCCAAATTGCCCATCTTTTCTTCATTTTTGGGTTGTAAGTAATGAACTGTTAATACTTTTGTACACTGTGGTTTTACGGCCACACACTTTATTCTCCTTTGTCAAGTTTAAAGTATTCTAGGGCTTGTGCCTTCCCACATAAAATTTAGAATAAACTTGTCTGTTTCTACAAAAAGCCACGCTGTTATTTCTATAGGAATTGCAATCAACCTACAGATCAAATTGAGAATTATATCCTTATTGAGTCTTGAACCCACAAACATGTATGTCTCTCTATTTAAATAGTTCTTTTTCCACTTCATCAGAATTGTGTGATTTTTCAATATACAGATCCTATGCATGTTTTGTCAGGTTTATACTTAACTATTTCCATTGCTCTTAAGAGGTTTAAAGTGTTATTATATTTTTCATTTCAGTTTTGACATGTTTGTTGCTAGCATATAGAAATGTGATTGAGTTTCCCATGTCTATCTTGTATCCTGTGAGCTTGGTAACACCTACTAATTTTAAGAGGTTATTTATAGATTACTTGGCATTTTCTACATAGATAATTATGTCATCTGCAAATATGGACAGTTTTATTTCCAGCTTTCCCATCTACATGGCTTTTTATTCCTTTCTTGTGTGTCTTAGTATGATAACTAAAATTTCTGTGTTGAAAAAGAGTGGCAAGAACTGACATTGTTACCTTGTCCCCAGCTGGAAAACATTCAGTTTTTCACTATTAAGTATGATGACAGCTATAGGTTTCATGTACATATTCTCTATCAAGTTGAAATAGTTTGACAGCTGGGTCTACAGTCACCAGCAATCCTGTTGTGATTTATTGGAACAAGCTGTGTATCAAGAATTGTGATTTTCTGCAGACGCTGATGGAGGAATTTTGACAAAGGTAGAAGAACCAAAGAATGGATTATTGGTTCATTTGAAGGGTGACTCATCCTGTGTCCTTTTGCCATCTGGGGCTCCCCTTTGCTGATGGGAGTATTTGAGAACCTCTACAAATGAGCCCTGGAGAGTGTGAAAGTTCCCCCAGATTTCTGTGTTCATTAAACCTGTAGAAGTCTTGAAAATGTGCAAGGTAAAGTAACAATTTTGATCAAACTAAGCTGTCAGTTTCTGTGTTGAGAGTACAGAAGTACTTTCAAGATACTCTACAAGGCCAACATCCTGAGCACAGGAAACACCAGCTGCTGGAGCCACAGACCCAGCATCCTGATGCAGTTTGTTAAGAAAAAAAAATCGATATTTTTCCCTTCAGTTCCTATCCAGATAACTGATGATGAAGCAAAGAGTTACCTTCCCAAAGCAGGCAGAAAACATCGGAAAGCTTCCAGAACTGCTTGCGAACTTCCTGGGCCAGCCCTTTGATGTTAATTAAGCACAGTTCCTGCTTTTAGATTGCTCTCTTGTAAGAACAGCAGCTTCTAGAAAAAAAAGGCACCACCCTCTGTTGCTTTAGTAGTGGACGACCCTATAGGAGTTCATGTATAACCAGAAAAGACCATTCTTGATTTCTTTTTAGGGTGGACTTCTTTAAAAAATGTATGTGACAGGCCAGGCATGGTGACTCATACCTGTAATCCCAGCACTTTGGAAGGCTGAGGCAGGTGGATCACGAGGTCAGAAGATCGAGACCATCCTGGCCAACATGGTGAATGCAAAAATGAGCTAGGTATGGTGGCACGTGCCTGTAATCCCAGCTACTCAGGAGGCTGAGGCAGGAGAATTGTTTGAACCCAGGAGGCAGAGATTGCAGTGAGCCGAGATCATGCCACTGCACTCCAGCCTGGTGACAGAGCGAGACTCCCTAAAAAAAAAAAAAAAAAAAGGAAAAAGAAATGTATGTGACAACTATATAATAAGAACGCTTGAGAGATCCAAAAATCTGGGTTAGGAATTGATATTATCAGTGGAAAATTAAAGGGAAAGATTATCAACTATTAATATTCCAGTGGTCAGAGCGCTGTGAACAAAGAGTTGAGACAGAGGTATCCTTAAGATTAAAGTAGGCAAAATCTGTTGTCTACTTATAAGATCATCTTTCTAGGTTTATTGATAGTTAATAAAAAGCAGCATAATTTCTAGAAGTGAAGATTTAGCCACTTCTACTTATAAGCCATCCTTGTTAGAGAAACTTTGTTTGCTTAAGTCATGATTATTACAGAAATTGAAAAATGCTCATTTGAGCTATTAAATTGACTCTGTGGTCTCCCAGTAATTAATTTAACCCATGATGATACACAGTTAACAGGCTGAGATGGAGGGATAGGTAGATTACAGATACATCCCTGCTAGAGATCTTCAGACCCCTAGCTTTATATTTTGTCCTTACAGACATTCAAACTTCAGGTAAATTGATAATCAAATTGATACGGATAGTCTCCAAAAGATTAAAAAACAAATGACATGGATATGCACCACGCAGGGCTGCTCCCAGAAGAGGGAAGTGAAGCAGCCCGCCTCTGTCTCTGCCTCCACCTCTGCCTCCGCCTCCACCTCTGCCTCCGCCTGCTCCTCCACAGGGTAACTAATGCCAAGTGCAGTCCTCTCCAAAGGAGGAGCTCAGCTTTGGGCAGCCCAGCTCAGCTGCTGGGCTCTGGCTGTTATCATTCAAATGTGTCTTTTTTAGGGACTGAGTCTGCTAGATGCATCCATTAGTTAAGCAAATGGAAATTCAGGCAGAACTATAGGTGAGAACCGAGGGTCAAAATGTGTTATCAAGAGTCTTTTCTCCTAGGAGTTGAAGTTAATCAGCCTGATCAGGTCAGGGTGGAAGGTTTGCCTTCTGCATGAATGCAGCCTTGATGATGGAAAAGGGCCAGCCTTGAGAAGGTAAGAGAGGAGGATTGCTGTCTCCATGGGGCACCCGGAAAGAGGCAGCTGTCCTTACAGATAACCCGATCCATTGAGCTAAGAACTGGATGGGGAGTGTCTGTAAGAATATTAAAATCCTTATCCCAAAGTGATTTATTTTTATCAGGTTTTTTCATCTGTTATTAACAGCGACATTTACCAAGCACTCGTACAGTTCTACGTGTTTGACATTTCCTTTTTTTTTTTTTTTTCTCGCTCTGTCACCCAGGCCAGCGTGCAGTGGCGCGATCTCGGCTCGCGGCAACCTCCACCTCCCAGATTCAAACAATTCTCCTGCCTCAGCCTCCTGAGTAGCTGGGACTACAGACGTGTGCCACCACGCCCAGCTACTTTTTA